CGACGCCACCGTAAACACCGCCCCCGGCTGGGGCAACACGGCTCTGTTGAAATCCTGCACCTCGTGTCAACTGCACATTCCACTCTGCACGCACCGGTATCCTTGCCTTGAACAAGAACTAGATCAATGACTACACTTTGACGTCGTTGTCGTCATAATTCCAGGTGGGTTGCAGCTGCTGGTGCTACTGCAACCGTTGCCGTCGCCGCATCTGTCTACACGACGCTATCAGCTGACTTCTGTCACTTCAGCTGATTTCTGAAGATAAGGCCTCCGTACGGAATAATCGCTTTGACGCCGCCCGGTTCGGAGTGCGCATCCGCAGGTACTTCAGACACAGGCGAGCGGCTAGCGGTCTATTGATCGAGCGGTCCGATGAGTAATGGTCAGACGGACAGACACACGAGCAGCTGACAGCGACCCCACATCTGCACGCTCCACCTGCACACGTGTTCCGAACTTCCGGGCGAATACCGAAAACGCTGAGATGTCACTTCTATCGACAGTGGTCGATCTGATTCTCCGCGGCTTGAACTGCTGTCGACTGCGCTGGTCCCTTTGGATTGTGAGGTGGACGAGCAGCGCGACTCTGTGGTGGCTAGGCCGCTGTTTTCCCCTAGAGATGGAGAGCTCACTCAACGTAAAGAGTGACATTGGCCGGACACCGGATCGGGCTGGGACGTGGGGGACATCCTGCGGACCAGAACTCTGTCTTCCCGTATGTTGACAAAGATCGGTGGAAATCCAGTTGCGAAGCAAGCCAACTCAACGTTGTTCCAGTGATTCTGGGATCGCTGCTTGGCGGTCTCTGTGTTGTTGTGATGGTCTAGCGGTGCGGAGAGGAAGGGCGGCTATTGCCGAGAGGGAACCCTGCTACCCTTCCCTTGTTACCTAGCATAGCTGTGCCCACACCGGCCGGCATCCCGAAGGGACCTGGTCCCCTGACTCACGGGGCTCACGATTTCAACACTCCAGTGAACCATTCGCACAGCTATCGAGACCGAGGGGGAGAGGCGGTCCGCACGCCGAGCGGTACTTGTCACTAAGCGAAGGGCGTCGTTCGTGACAGTCTTTCTCCCTTTTCTTGGTCATCTGCTGACATGGGAAGAAAGAATTCGGGAAAAATATCATTCCTTTCATTGTCGTGTCCTCGACTAGCTCAGAAATATGCCAAGTAATACATTGAGAGTACGTGGGGAATGATAGCGAAGTAGAAAAGAGTCCGGTGCCCTCTAGCGCAAAGATTCTCCGTGAAAACAAAGAAAAAATCAGACCTTGACTCCGACGTTCGGCGGCAGATGCTGATCTGGAAAATTTTATTCCGTCGGATATTCATGATCGTAACAACCTAATCTGCATCCTTTATCATGCACATATGATTAGCCATTCGTGGTCGGCTGAATTCTGGTATGAAATTTTACTAGAATGGATCAGCAGTAAGTAACACGGACAGCAGTGGGCAGAGCGAGAGGTATTTTCAGAGCGCAGCGCCTCCGGAATTTTCTTACAATTAGATATTTTCATTCCGAATTCGTCAATGAGAACTAGCCGCTCACTTCAAAATATTCGGGTAGAGACTTCGGTAGTTCTCCCGATATTCTGTGGATACTTCTTATTCCTGTTCTTATGGTTTTGAACGTACACTTCCGAATGTTTTGCTGAATAGCCTGCATTCCTTCTTGATTCTCTGAGGCTCAAATTGATTGATCGCAGCTTATACAGCTCTCAAATCGAGACCTTCGGAGCCCTCGATACTCACCGAAGGGAGGTATTCCAAGTACTGAAGTACATCTGCGGAAAACATATCGGAGTATTTGGTGCACGCAGAAGGCTGATGCTTTTTGAGCGGGGGCCTCGCCGACGGATGATTAGGCCGGGTCACAAGAGCAAGACACGCTTCCGAACCGACGTCTTGGAGAAGGAGGATATAACTTGACCCCGGGAGCTCCCCCCTCCATGGCCTAATGGTCGTTACCCCTTTCCGGTTTTTGATTCCATTCGATGCTTGATCGGTATCGGTGCAAGATATACTTATGTTGCAAGGAGGGTGATCTGTTGAGGAACGACTCGACGGCTCGGAGCCGACCGCGCTCGTGCGCGATGGGCCGATACGGGTTTTCCTAGCTCCTTCATCCTGGGGGAAGAAGGGGGGAAGGGGGCGGCAAATCGATTCTCTGATGTGTGAAGGGCTGAGAACAGACGCGAGCGGGAAAATCGGCTATTGCATGAGCAGAAACTTCCCCCTTCCAAACGGGATTCACGGACACATATCGGATGCAAGACCCCTCTCTGGCTTTTGACGACATGTCCAGAGAAACGAGTGGCAGGTTTTCTTGAGTACTCGGAAAATCCCGAAGTCTGGGAATGCGGGCGCAACCTATGTATCGGGAACGAACGCCAAAACGATCATCGTATATGCTGAGGGTCGAATGGCCATGTTGTATGCATGGTGCTGCGATGATCTCCGCCCGTTGACCGATATCTTGTCCAATAAGCCGGATGAGAGTCGCTGACATTCCCCTTGTGTCCGTGATGAAGGTGGGACGACAACATCTTCCTTATGACAGGTCACGCTGCCCTTGACTTATGCGTCAATGGCGCACGCTGCGTAATGTATGTATGTATGTATGTATGTATGTATGTATGTATGTATGTATGTATGTATGTATGTATGTATGTATGTATGTATGTATGTATGTATGTATGTATGTATGTATGTATGTATGTATGTATGTATGTATGTATGTATGTATGTATGTATGTATGTATGTATGTATGTATGTATGTATGTATGTATGTATGTATGTATGTATGTATGTTATGTATG